TTGGATCTTAATTTCCGGATGAGTTTTTAGAAACGATGGCAGTTCTGCTGTATACGTAAGAAAGAGTAGTGGAGAAAGTATACCACCTTGAGGTACACCACTGCTACAAGAAAATCGTTCTGAGTAACTGTTCCCAACGCGCACTGTCATCCCTCTGTTGTACAAATAAGATGAGAACCAGGAAAGTAATTGCCCACGAATACCGTATGTTTCGAGTTTTGAAAGTAATTTCGAGTGGTTTACTCTATCAAAGGCCTTGGAGAGATCAAAAAAGACGATATCTACAGAATTACCATGGTTTATAGCATTTATCCAGTCATAGACCGAATCGCAGAGTAATGCCGTGGTTGAACCTCCACGAAGGAAGCCATGCTGAACCGAAGGTATGATCTTGTGCTTATCTAACCACTCAAGTAATCTCTCATTGACAATTTTTTCAAGGATTTTACCAGAGGGGGCCGTGATACTGATCGGGCGGAAATTGGAAACTAAACTGAGGTGTTCGCGTTTGGGTATAGCAGTAACCAGCGCTTCTTTCCAAATTTGTGGCACCTGGCCGAGTAGAAAAGAAGCATTAAAAATGAAGGACAACGGAGTGGTGAGGGCCCGGGCACATTTTCGGTAAATAATTTGTGGAAGCCCATCATATGCCGCGGATGTCGTTGGTTTCAATTTCGTTAGGACCTCGTGAATTTTGTAAGGCTCAACAAAAAACTCTGTGCATCCTTCGCTTATTTCAAGCAAATGTGTATAAGGAACGGGACTTCTTACATCAGCAGAATCGTTTGTTGATGTGAAAAAGCCGGAAAATTGTTTTCCTAATACCTCTGCCTTTTCCTTGTCACTGATGCATGTATTCCCTTGTTCATCCGTCAAGAAACTAAGCTTTAGTTGCCCCTTGGTCTTCAATCTAAAATATTTATAGAGCTCTTTTGATTGTTGCTTTGAAAGACGTTTTTCGCGGTTGGCTAAATATTTCTTGATATGATGGCTAATATCCTTACATACCTTTCTATAAAGTTGATTATTCAAGGCGTCAGGTAGTTTTGCAAAAAGCTTAGTTTTTTGTTCTAAGAGGTTTTTGATGTGGGTAGGGTAATTTACTGTTTGGGGAGGTCCAAACCGGAAAGGGACATGCTTGGCAAGGATATCATACAGCACCCTACAATAGCGATGATAAAGGTCGTCAATCGATTCGTAATTCGCAAAGACGTCATACCAGCTGATTTTTTGTAGATCATTATTGATTTTGGCAAAGTCTGCTTTTCGGAAATCGGGATACGGCAGAAAAGCGCTTTTTCTTGGGTTAAAATTAGCCTCGAAACTTATAGTATTGTGGTCTGAGGAGCCGAAAGGAGGCAGTATTTTAACATTGTGAACTACCCTTCCTGTTGAAAATACCAAATCAATTGCTGAATTTCCCCTAGTGGGAACGGACACATTTTGGTGGAGGTTGATGTCGCGAAAGAAGGAGATAAGCCGAATACTAGCGCGAGTGGCAGGAGATAGAACATCTATATTGAAATCGCCCAGAACTATGGTATCAAACGGGAGGGAGCATAGATCATGCAGGACATTAGCCAAAGAAAGATCATCACTGCTTGTAGAATTCGGTGGCCGGTAAACGACGATAAATCTCAAAGGCGAGAAAAAAGAGGATGACCATATGTTAAGACAAAGGATGTCAGAATTGAGTTTAACGGAGACTTGTACATGCTCTACGGCTAGATCCTCCTTCACTAGGCAACATACGCCACCACCTTTACGGCCAACTCGGTCTGTGCGATGGATAGTGTAAGGGAGATCGGATAATATTTCGGAATTACTAATTTTAGCAGTGAGCCAGGATTCAGTAATACATAAGATGTCGGGAGAATAGAAACAAAGAAAAGTGTGCAAAAGGAAAATTTTATTGACTAAACTACGTGCATTAAAAAGCAAACAAAAAAGGGGTGCAGAGTTTTGAGGCCTGTTTAGAAGTTTCCCTGGCTACGCTTAGCAAGTTCCGACGTGTGCCGAAGCTCCCCTTTATATACTACCCATTCTTTAGTAGCCTTCCCTTTGTTTCTTTCCCTTGCGATCTGCCTTAATTCAAATTCTTGGTTGCGTTCAGCTGCAGTCATGCTTCTGCGAACATATATGTTACGCAGATTGGAGTCACGCAGATAATGGGCGTTCGAAAGTGCCTGGGACCAGAATGACCGGGATGGGAAGACTACTTTCACAAGTCTGGGCCTATTTTCAGCATATCTCCCCATACGAAAAATTTCGGTTGGCCAGCAGTCAACTTTCAACACCTCCAATACATTGGCCACCCCAGTTTCCAATTCCACCTTTCGCTCTAATAGGGATTTTCCTGGACTGGACTCTGGCAATCCAGCTAGCACAATACTGCGGCCCCTTTTTTCGGTGTCCACATCTTGAGGTATTTTGGCTTTGAGCGCCAGAACCATTTTCTCAATATCTGGGTCAGTGTTCCTGGCCAGTATCGAGTCAATAAGTTCGTTCGCGCTTAGGCCGCTGAAATCATCGTCACCATTCTGTGAAGAAGCGGTGGTATTCCTCAAGGTGGCCTGGGAAGAAGAGGGAGCTTTTTGTTTATTAAGGCGCGCAGTTGAGAGTTGGGAGGTCGAACGGGTTGATCTTGCCGGCATGACCTAGTGTTCTGATCGATAGATGAGGAAAGAGGAATTTGGGAGTGAAATAAAATTTAGGCTGTAAAGGAAGTGAAAGGACTCAAAAAAGATTGACGAGCCCTTAGCAATGTAGTAAAAATGTTGAAGACAGGAATAAACTTGAGCTAACCCGCAGAAATACGCAAAAAAATTCTGAGAATAGTTAAAATGCAATAATATATCTATATCTAATAATATAATATAATATATCTAATAATATATCTATGTAGGGACAGCACAGCATCGCTTTAGCAAAAACATGAAAATCTTTGTTCAATTAATTACTAATGGAAAAAGTACGGCAACAGCGTATGTAAATGTTTTAGATGAATAGGGTCTAGGCGAGCCATTTTTGTACGTTTTTTGAATGGAATTATGATTTTTCTCAATTTTTCGGGCAGTTGAATCTTTTTAGTTTTCGCCTTGAAACTCGAGTTGGATCAGAGCTGTTGAAAAAGGAGATAGCCTGTTTGTAGAGCTTGTTTTGCTATATTGAACGGCATCTTGGAACTTATCTAGAAACAAGAAGTTCATGATTTATTGCGATTGAAAACTAAAACGGAAGGAACTTAAAGGACAACTTGTTAAAAAGAGGTTAACTATGTCCCGAACTCTATGAAATTTACACAAAAACCTCGTCTTTAGCACAATAAAGCACTCAATTCTTCAATTTCGCTGAGATATTTTTGAGATAATCAACATTACACTTGCTTCAATCACATTCATTCCAATCAAATTATGATGTTAACACCCTATTCAATTCTGTTTTTTTATTCAGGCGAAAGTTGTGTTCTTTTGTGTTGCTAAAAGTGAAAACCAGAGTACATGCGAGGCTAGTAGTATGCAATAGTAGTATATCTATGTAGGGACAGCACAGCATCGCTTTAGCAAAAACATGAAAATCTTTCTTCAATTAATTACTAATGGAAAAAGTACGGCAACAGCGTATGTAAATGTTTTAGATGAATAGGGTCTAGGCGAGCCATTTTTGTACGTTTTTTGAATGGAATTATGATTTTTCTCAATTTTTCGGGCAGTTGAATCTTTTTAGTTTTCGCCTTGAAACTCGAGTTGGATCAGAGCTGTTGAAAAAGGAGATAGCCTGTTTGTAGAGCTTGTTTTGCTATATTGAACGGTATCTTGGAACTTATCTAGAAACAAGAAGTTCATGATTTATTGCGATTGAAAACTAAAACGGAAGGAACTTAAAGGACAACTTGATAAAAAGAGGTTAACTATGTCCCGAGCTCTATGAAATTTACACAAAAACCTCGTCTTTAGCACAATAAAGTACTCAATTCTTCAATTTCGCTGAGATATTTTTGAGATAATCAACATTACACTTGCTTCAATCACATTCATTCCAATCAAATTATGATGTTAACACCCTATTCAATTCTGTTTTTTTATTCAGGCGAAAGTTGTGTTCTTTTGTGTTGCTAAAAGTGAAAACCAGAGTACATGCGAGGCTAGTAGTATGCAATAGTAGTATATCTATGTAGGGACAGCACAGCATCGCTTTAGCAAAAACATGAAAATCTTTCTTCAATTAATTACTAATGGAAAAAGTACGGCAACAGCGTATGTAAATGTTTTAGATGAATAGGGTCTAGGCGAGCCATTTTTGTACGTTTTTTGAATGGAATTATGATTTTTCTCAATTTTTCGGGCAGTTGAATTTTTTTAGTTTTCGCCTTGAAACTCGAGTTGGATCAGAGCTGTTGGAAAAGGAGATAGCCTGTTTGTAGAGCTTGTTTTGCTATATTGAACGGTATCTTGGAACTTATCTAGAAACAAGAAGTTCATGATTTATTGCGATTGAAAACTAAAACGGAAGGAACTTAAAGGACAACTTGATAAAAAGAGGTTAACTATGTCCCGAACTCTATGTATCGAAGGTATGCTGAGAGGGTTATCAACGGAACCAATAGTCACGGATCAGTTGGAAGTGTACCGAACCAAGATAGAACTATATCAGAAATTGGTGTGTTTCCTTTTTTCTTCACAGTTTTAAAGCAAAATCGATTCAAGTTTTACGAATTTTACTCGGTTCAAGCTGGCTCAAAAAGTGGCGATGAGATCTACGAAGCGCCACAAAATAGGGAGTAGTGTTTGGAAAACTGTGCAACAGACAGTCAAACAATTGGAATCAAGCTGGCTGGATCTGTAATTGTCAGCAACGCTGTACGCGTGACCCATAATCGCCTAGAAAAGAGGAAAGCCACACTTTGAGATTGGCACAGGAGTTGAAAGCGACCACTAGCTAATCGAAGGGCGAACTCAAGTTTGACGGTTTCAAGAGACTAGCAAGGTGACTCCTAGTAGTCAACTCACATATGTGCCAAGTTGAAATCCGTTGTTGTTCTGCTCATCAGAAGCCCAGTTGAAAAAGTCTACCATAGAATTGTCTGTCCAGTACTTTGTACGATCCAATGTTGTGACGCCAGGTACACTTCCAAACTTAAGTCCTGAAGACAGCAAAAGACATCTTTCAGCAGTCGCAAAAGCTAAAAGCAATTTGAAAGCAGACATCGATACAATCTGCCAAACGCCAAATCAATTCAAAAAGACATACATATAATGAGCGATTTTTTATGTGGAGGAATAGGAAGGGGAAGTTATTGGCGACAAGAACATATTCGGAACTTCTTTAACCACCAAATTCATCAAAAGGCAAACGTGAATAATGAACAGTAAATTATAATCAAGCAGTATTTACAGACATTTACAGTCTTCGTCGCTGTTGTCGAAAATCCGAAGTCCCTCATAGTTTGCGTTAGCGATATCGTCCACTTTGGCTTCCTCCTCTTACTTCCTTCGATCTTCCCCAGTTCCCGACATGCGTGGCCCAGCGTTCCCCTCAGTTTGCTAGTCCAACTTCTCACGGTGTCTCGTTCGTCAAGTACTGTGCACAAAGCTTTGTTATGTCCATTATCACGAGGAATTCCTTGCCACAATTGTTCCCTCGGCTCTTCTTGCAGTAGAAGCATGGTCGGTAATTGAACGACATTGCTTCGCAGAGCACGATTCCAGACAATAGATGCAGAGCCCTTTCCGCATTAGCTCGTAGCGTACATCCTCTCTCCTCACTCTGGGGCAAGAGTCCGAGCAGCGAGGAATGCATAATGCGCAGTCGGTTTGTGCATGTGTCCCTTGCCGATTCCCTAAAGTGACGACCTGGGCATACTTATAGAATTCGCTCCATCTCCTTAATTTTTCAACCAGCTCTTTGCATTCTTCTTCCTCTTTCCTTCCTATCTGGCGTTCTCTGCTTCCATCCGTTCTTTGCTTGCTTCAATAACTTGTGGAAGTATTGCTCATTATCATTGCTCATTGTTCTTTGTCAGTATCGCTTCAGCACCCTTTGACTAGGACAACAACAAGCTGTTCTTGACTAACACGACAATATTCCATTTCGCTCCCCCGTCGCGTGTAATCTTTACCTTCGTTACATCTATTTCCTCAACGGAAACATCCATTGGAGGTTTTCTTTCTATCTGTGATGCTTTAGGTGACTGTAGGTGCTGATTGTGTTTCAGCATCATTTGTGATGCCTTGTCTTGGTTAGGAACTTGTCTTTGCTAGTTTTGCTTTCAGTTGAATATTTCTTTATTTTCCCTGCGTAGTTCATTTTTGAGGCTCCTGTTGAACCTTTCTGATTCCGTGGTTCGGTTTCCCAGACGGCGACAATCTTCTGCGTCCTGTTCTATTTTTTCAAGCTTCTCAATAATAGCTGCTATCTCCTTCACTCGATAGTCCATCTCTTGAATGAAGACGTCATAGAACCCTTGGCTGAGCTTTGTCTTGTCCATATTTATAGAAAGCAGGTCGTAGTACTTGTATAGCAGTGTCTATCTTGTGCCTAGTATTGATGATCTCTTCTTAGCCGCGTTACTCGATGCCATTGCTTCTCCATCAAATAGGCAGTTCTTCTTTAAGACGTTTGTGGTCGTTCTTAATCGTCTCGGCCGCATTAGTTGTCGAAATAGCGTCTCTTGCTTCAAGTGCTCTTCAACGGCTGTTCTTGTGTTGTCTCTCATAATGACCATCAGGCATTGGATCTCCATGTGCAGATTTCCAAAAGCCATACTCAAATCAAAATTGTCCAATCTAGTTTGTCTTCGATAAAAATTGTCATTTCTTCGCTAGATTTTTTTCCTGGTAAGAGTTACCATTTGCCGACTAGCAGGTCGTATAAAATGAAAACGTCCAGCGGAATGAACTCAAATATGCTGGTAGTAGCGCACTTTCACAGCCCTCTCTGTGCAAACAGTCGAACTATTTGGTGACTTTTTGGCGCTAAGATTTTCCTTGATCGCTCATTGTGATCAATGTTGTCTTTCTGACATGTGCGCCTGTCCTGCTCTCTGGACGCACAATATGGTAACGAAAAAATGTTAGTTCAACTTGAGTGAAGGTAGGCCTGATTTACTTCCTTTACTGTGATCTATTCATTTTCTAACTCTCGATTTGTTTTATCGTTTTTGGGGCTTTTTTCCGGTCGAATACTGTTTTCTTCTGTGTTCTTTGGAATCTCATCCTTTAGCAACTGGCCTGCAAATCAGTTTTCTCGATGATAATCACCACTTCTCTTGATTCGCCGTCTTTGTTCTCCACAATCTCTATGATGCCTCCCATTTTCCACAAATGTCCTGGTTGCACTGGTTCCGTTATCAGTAAGCAGTCGTCCTTGTTCAAAAGCGTGGTGGACTTGTTGTGGCCTACCTATAACTTGTGTTATTCCAGATGGGATTGTGATCTTGGAAGGTTTTAGAATTTTTCAGCAGATTTTCAGGAACTTTTCAACGCGTGCAAAGTTTGCAATATTGTATGGAATGCGACTTGTTTGTTGAGAAATGTGGTTTATCTTCGTATTTGAAGGTAGCCCCCTCAAGAGGATGAATCAGTATAATCTTTGAATAAAGGCAGGGGCTTTATGATGGTTTCGTCGCTCAAGTTAGAATTTATGTAGAACAGTAGACTTGTGCTGAATAGGCCTTCGATCTCGATGAGCGTTGTTGACATTTCTTCGGATGTAGAGATCGAGTTTTTCAGTGTTTTGTAGAGGAACAACTTGACCGTTTTTATCAGTGGCATCCCGTGCCATGACAAAAGATGTAATGTGCTTCCGTCGATCTACCTGTGGCTGATTTCCCTTGTGACTGCGACATCGTATTGCTATTTTTTGAAGCAATCTGTCAGATCTCTTCTCCTAAGAGCAACTCAGATAATCGCCAGGGGCAGGCGGCAATGCGATTCTTGGGCAAGCGGGCACCGGAAAAATATTAGGTTGGAAACAAGTTTTGCAAATGCTTCCATAACTTAACTCTTTTTGAACATGTTGCACTCAAACTTGGGCTATATGTAGATCTCAATGTTTGCTACAGCCACGCACAAACTGTTTAATTTTGAAAAAGAAATAAAGACATTACAAGCATTTTTCCAAAATTAGTGAATCTCGAGGATTTATGAGGTTTCAAGCAAAAATGAAGCCGTTTGCGACCACATCATGCACAATGATCCGAAACTGTAAGCGAATTATTGCTTGAGGCTGACTCATTTGGCTCAATAGAAAAGGAATAGATTAGAAAGGCAAGTCGAGTTCTAGCGCCCTCACGAAAGTATATAAGGCTGGTGGGGACAACTATTAGTGACTAAGAAGTGGGAACGTCAAAAACGGCGGAGACTCCACATATTGAGGCTGTTCCACCTGCTAAACACGAATATCATTTTCGTTTATCAAATTGAATCCTGTTCTATCGTTTAAGGTGAGATCCCATACCTTTAAACTACAGTAATCTTGAAAAAAGCTCTTAACATGCAAATTCAGCATGTTATTCGTGATCAGCATGTTGGAAAACCCCCTTACCCAAGTCAGCCAAATCCGTAGTGATTTGCAATTTTCCCTTTTATACCATATACCTACCGTAATCCTCACTGCGACGTCAGAAATTGGCAGAACAGCACGAAAGCTTGTAGCTTACATTATACACAACTTACTGGCAAAGTCTGAGTGCTTCATATTGAATGAGAGCAAGTTTATTTAGTGAGTCGCAAAACTTATTTTTCTTCCTAACAATTCGCTGATTTCTTGCGGTCCGCTTGCAGAAATTTGGAAGAATGTTGGCCAATTTTTAGACGAGTGCTCGAAAAATTCGCGGTTTTTCTATGCTTTATTTGCGGCGCACTGGCTTGCGGACTTTTCACGAGAATTTGCAATTTTAATGAAGGCTACGCGGTCCTTTGTGGAGGATGCACAGCCCATAGGTACCTTTAAGTGGAAGTACCCCAAACTCGGGTAATTAAACCATTGATGACACCTCTGCCACATAGAGTTTCACTTTTGTTTGGCGTACGCCCGAAACTGCTTGAAAAGAGTCCGAGTGCCTGCTGAAAGTTTGACCAGCGCTCGCTGAAAGAGATTATTTGACGAGCGCTTGCAGAAAATTTTGTATCTGCTCGCTTGCAGAACAGGGAAGTACCGCTCGCTTTGGCCACGCCCCAAAATTTGGCTGACCGCTTGCAGAAAAGCGTGAGTTTGTGGACGGCCTGCTTCTGAGGATTATCTGAGAATCTGGAAACGTTGTTACTTATTAAAGACTTCGTAACTCCTCTCCTTTCAAAGAGTCTCCGAAATTTTGAGAAATGCTGTGGTGGAGAGGTCAGATAGTGGATCCAAATGGATGAGCCTTGATCATGCAAGTGATGATGGCTTCATAGCGTTTACTTGTGTTGTCTTCCTGAGCGCACGCCGTTAGAGGTTCGGAGTAATCCAGTCCAACATGTTGAAAAAGACTTGACTGTTGAACTCGTACTCGTGGTAAGCCACCTTGATTTGGGTATATATGTAAGGCCGCTTATTGTAGCGTTGGCACTCTATGCAACGGCGAGTGATGCGAGTCACTTGAGCGCGTAGATTTGGTGTCTAAAATTTTTGTCGCATAAGAGCGGTTTATGTGACTCATGCCTGAGTGTCCTTTGCGATGGTGCTCTCATAATATTGCTTCAGCTAACCAGGAGGTTTAAATGATATTGTATGAAATTTATTTACGTAAACAGTCGATTCCAAAAAAGATCACACAACATAAGTACAGTTTGGACTCAAACAATCGACATAAAAAATCTTGCTGCCTTTTGAAAAGTAATGTGCATCCCATTGTTTAAATGCCAGCGAGCTTGCGGGCAAAAGCTAGCTGACTTAGCCCTCAAAAAAGAATCTCTTTTCAAATAAGCGGCAGGATCAGGACAATAAGGAAAATGATTCGCCATAAACAAAATTTTTTGTGCAAAAAAAAGACATAAACTATCGATAAAAAATACACAGAGGAGAAGAATACATAGAAGATAAAAAAGGTACAGAGGTGCTGAACGGTAATTTTGGCGTTTTGAAATAGCTGGTCGAAGATCAGTAATAGTGATCGATTTCAAGGTTTTTTGAACTTCTCTGTTAAACACAAATGTCGATGAAGCTTCAATCGCCGTTACTGGAAGCTTGTTCCATGTGTTGATTATGCGTATCGGAAAAGAGTCATGAAATTGCTGTGTTTGCACCTTTCCTATGATAAACCTGAAGCCATGTCCTCTAGTTATAGCATTAAAGTTGGATAATACGAAAAAATCGTGCATCGTGAGATAGATTCTTTTAGTCATAATCTTGTAGACGAGATTTTGATCATAAATTGTTCTTCTGAGTCTCAAAGAGGTAGTGGTAAGTATAGAAAGTCTTGATTTGTATGACACATGGAAATGCCCAGCTCTTGCAAATATTCGTGCAGTGAATGACTTCTGCACTCTTTCTAAGGCGTCAATTGCATTTCTCTTAGTTGGAGACCACAAAGGTGTACAGTATTCTAGCATAGGACGGACGTAAATGACAAAAAGCTTGAAGAGAGTTTGGATTTTCGTCGTTCTAAAGGCACGTAATATGTAGTTACATCGAGCATGGGCATTTCTTGTAATTTCATTTATATAGTCGTCAAAATTGAGGTTG